AGTAGAGTCCTGCTGGTCTCCTCTTGATAGTGTCATAAGTGTGGCTGGTGTGTGTCAGAGCCTGACAGCACCCCGACAGCACCACCTGACAGCACCTGACAGCAACAGCCCAACGTCTGACAGCAGCAGCAGCCTGACAGCTCTGACAGCTCCGACAGCGTCTGACAGCAACACCCGACAGCTCTGACAGCACCCGACAGCTACAGAGCCCCTCGACTGTCAGACACGCACCCGACAGCACCCGACAGCACTGACAGCACCCGACAGCTGGTCTGACAGAGGCACCTGACAGTGCCTGACAGCTGCCCGACAGCCCGACAGATCACCTGACAGCACCTGACAGCCTGACAGCCAGGGCTCAGGCCGGCGGCCGCCGCCCGCGTGCCGCGAGCATATGCTACCAGGTCACAGTATGGGTTCGGGACGTATTCACAGCAGTGTGAAGGTAGGGGACGAAAAAAGAAACCCCCGGAGTACCAGTATGGGTTTCTCTGTTCACCCGCGGATAATAAATAAATAAATAAAAACGGACACCTCTCTACTGTGAGATGGGTAAAAAGGAACAGGCCCCCGCCCTTGCGATCTTTGTGCAGGGTTCTTTGTGGGTGTGGTCGGCGACTAGCCGGGGTCGTCCTCCCGATGGGGGACTAGCACTAGCCGTCTTCCACATGGTCCCTCGGGTCCCTGCTGCTCCTAATCTCTTCGTACATCCTCCTGCTGATCTCCGCAAAGTCCTGCTCCCTCCCTCGTCTCGCCCTGCGCGTCTGCTCCGCCTCACCGTCTTCTGCCCTGCGTCGTCTGGCGACGGGTCCTCCATAGTCGGTCGAGGTCGCCGCCCTCCTCGTGCCTCTTCCCAACGTTCCCTCGGCGGCCGATGCCGTCTGCTCCGGCTCCCCAGTCCCCGGGTCTGCCCTGCTCTCGTCTGCGCTAGTTTCTGCTTCGTCCTCACCGGCGTCTCTCCTCTTCCCTCTCCCCTTCTTGTATGCTTTGCACATCGCGTCGATTCCTTTTCGCGTGAGCACCAGCCTGAAGCCCGCCCAGCATCTGAACCGCTCCCTAAGTCGAAGGAGCATCATCAGTCTCACCCACTTCGCTCTCTGCCCACCGTCTCCGCTCCCTCCCGCTTGAGCCGCCGTCGCGGCCCTCGTTCGTCCCTCTGGCTGTTGGCCCGTCCCTGCGTTGCCTCCATTATCCCTCCTCATCCGCGACTCCCTCAAGGCTGGCCGGGCCTCCTTCCACCCAGCGAAGAGCTTCCTCAGCCACTCGATGTGTTCCTCTTTCTTCATTATGCGCGCCGTAGCCTCATCATTGAGCTGGATCCACCTCTGCACCGCTCCCGTCGCCGCCTCGGCCACGACTTGCAAGTTCCTCGTGACCCCGGCGCCAAGGTCCCTCCGACTCTTCTCCGGGAGATCATCTACCAGCGCGCGCGGAGAAGAAGAAATCCAGGCTGAATTTCTTCTGACTTCTCTTCGCGTGGCGGGTGGAAAAAAAAGGGTGGGTGCAATCGAGAGTGGGCGCGACCGCAATCCCACTGGATTGCGTTGATTGCATGTGATTGCATGTGATTGTAGTCGAACTCGGCGGTGACCGGCCCGCCGGCGGCATGTGGGCCGTTGTGCCAATATGCGACAAAGAAGAGAAAGCAAAGCGAAAAATCAGATAACCAAGGACCGGAGTTTGACAGGGCTAACACACCTGGCCCCGAGCACGACGGTGCTCAGCCGAGCGCCCGAAGCCACACAGGGACAACACAATTTATATTCTTAGTTGTTAGTCTATCGCGGGGCCTGAGCTCTCTGCGCCTTCTTCGTCGCAGCGCGCGCCTCCGTCGCGCCAGCGCGCATCGAGCCTGGCAAGCGTGCACGGGAAGACGGGCTTGCCCAGTTTGGCATTGACGGCGTTGTGCTGCTCGCACATCCACAGGCAAAATTCCTCGCGCGAGCCCAGCCTGCCAGCGGCGGTGCGGAATAATCATCGGCGCGGGAGGGCGGCGCAGTAGGCGGAGCGGAAGCACGCCGTGGTGGCGAGGCCTCCACCTCGCTCCGAAAGTCCGCGGCGCAGTGAGAGCACGCGTAGAGCTCGCCGAGCGAGCGAATGAACTGCTCAGCCAGGGTCTGCTGCGACGGCGAGGCCGTCTCCGGGTAGTAGGCGGCGGTGGTGTGGAGCTGCGGGCACGAGATGGCGCGCACGTCACGGCGATGCGCGCTTGTCGCGATCCGTCTGGAGGCGCAGCGCACCAGGGTCCACGTGTGTCGTCCGAGCT